AACAATTTAGGACGGTGCCAAGTCAACGGTCCCACTCTGGAAATTATCACGGCCACCCAAACTGAGGGCTATGGACAAGAGACGTTCATCGAGGCCACCATGACAACATGAGCATGTTGCAAAAACTAGGTCAAACCATATTGATACAGCAAAGGGCGATTACGGCCAACAGATATAAACCACGCCTTGCTTTCGCATGTTATTTGTGTTGTCAAGGCAACCTTCGAGAGCTTACTGCATACTACGTCTTCTGCCATTGTTGCCATGACATATTCCATCATCGGACAGTCGAATGGGTACTCTCTTGTATGTGTCGGTGGCATCTTAGTCGGCCTGGTAAGTGAGCCTTGCCATTGCTTGTCGGTTGTACCAAGTTTACTATCCGACGATGGAAATTGGCACGGCTACTGGGCTCGTTCTGACAACACGACCAAGTTGCGAAAGCAATGTCAAGCGACTTTTAAAATGGCGACTTTTGGAAAGTGCGAACAGAGAAGGAACTATGAAAGGGCCATCTTCTGGATGCGACGAAATATTCCAGACCTGACGTACTCGTTCATTGGATCTACCCTCGGGCTCAATGAATCCTTTTCCAAGCTTCTATATTTCCGTGTCTCCCCGTCTTCTCTGCCTACTCGTGGTCGCCTGCAAGCATGCGCTAGGGTCGTTTGGTGTGCTAAAAGGCCCGACTGGTCCGCGATCTCGTTGCACCCATTCCTCACGACGGGTCGACTCCTTTCCCCCTCGCATGCCTCCGCCGTCCCGGCTTCTAGCCGCGTCGCAAGACTCGTCTGCTTCCCGCACCTCGGCAGGCCGGGCGGTAGATGCGGCGTGTCGTTTGCTCGTCCGCCGTCCAGCGGCCCAGTCGCGCCGTGTCCGATTCCGGAGGATGATGTCCCAGCCCCGCTGGCCGGCCATCGAGCAGCGGACACGCGGTGCTGCGACCGAGGGCCTGGGTTCGAGCCCGGCCCCCAGACGCCTTCGCTGCTGCCCGTTGTGCGCGGCAGATTCCGGCGGACCGATTCGCTCGAATGAGTTCGGCTGCGCAGCCGGGCATGTTGATAAAGAAGAGTGGTGCTGGCGTGTCTCGATCGGGTCAGACGTCCCAACAGGCCGCTGTAATTCGCAGAAGGTTCAGATTCACCATCATCATCATAATCACCACCACCGGGGTCATCAGCGTCATTGACATCAGCAGCAGCAGCAGCAGCATCGCCGGCAAGGTCGGCCAGCAAATCGGCAAAAAGCGAGGCGTCCAAGTCGGCAGTCGGCCAGGGCGGAAGATGAAATGAAAGCCCAGTTCGAGCCCGCGTCGTCGTCGAAGGCAGTGGTGGTATTGTGCCAGTGTCGGTGCACGGGCCGTTGACGGGGGAGTGGAGATTTGCAATAAAAGTGGGCCCATCCGAAGCGTAATCCGGCCACCAAATGGAACGCATCCAAGTCATGAATGTAGCGCATGTGAGCAGGGAATAGCTTTGGTTATCAATTATAACAAAAATCCGAAATAGTGCAATTGGGGATACCAAATTGAGGAGTAGATTGGCGTAACTGAAGCTTTAAGTGGATGGTGCGGGGAGGAAGGACAATAGAGTCATTGTAGGCATGGCTGAGATAAGGAGAAATGGGCAGACAGCTTAGCTGCCGAGTCACTAGTAAATTGGGGCGCTCTCAGAATTTCGTGGTATGCATGATTTTAGGGGTAGATTCATAGGGCCCCAGGGAGGGGAAGCGATTCGAAGCTGACAGCAAAATTGTGAAATTCACATGTACGAGGCGTGGACACAATTTTTGTGATGCTCGCGTATGTGTGTATATCGGTGATGTTTATATCTTTAAAGAAGGGCCATTCATACATTTTGCAAGTACCAGCAAAAATAATTTATTTGGTGTGATTGAATGAAGCATCATACAATGTGATGGATACCGTCACCAAGGCAAATCATCTTTTCTTCAAGGATGTGGAGAATTGAGAGCTGTGCTCGTCAGCCAGGGAAGGCAAATGAGAACAGAGCAAACGAAATAGGTCCAGACTTTAGGCACATGAACACAATAATGTCATACGGAAGCCGTGATTAAATAATAATGCATTTTTTGATACGAATTAGACTTATGCTGGTGTCAATGGGGTAGTTTAGGGGAGGAAGGGAGATTAACAAAATAGAGACAACATGTAAAGTATCAAAAACAAATAAAAAAGGGTGACACCGATGAAGCATGGGGTCCACACTCGGCCAACGTGAGGCCAGACACAACGGATTTGTTATGGCTTCAAGTGATAAAGGGATGGATTGATGCAGAGCCAACAAATACGATGAGAACTAATTCCAGTGATGAGATGGTATAGGGAAAAAAGTGAGATTAAATAATGAACGGATAGAGGAGAGGTAGCAGGAGATTATTTAAACAAAAGGTGTAATTGGCATGCAAATCGACTCATTCAAGATTATTTGGGAGGATAGGGCAAGAATGGAGATTGAGGGGAGCGAGAAAGATGAGTCATGATAATGGAATAGATCATAATCAGGTGTCAACAGTTGAGTTTCACTTTGAAGGTATGGGATGGTATGTCAGACGAATAAAGTTCAGTAAGCTTAGGTTAGAGGCCTATTGAATGGTTAAATTGGTCGGCAAAATGTGCCAAGCTGAATAAATTCAATGATAAGAGAATATACATTGCCTCAGCAACATGTAAAGGAGTGAACGAGGGTAAAGGGCTCATGAAGACTTCAATCTCATTTGGAAATAACGAGCAAAAGGAGATGCCAAAGGATGCTCTCCAGAAGATACCGCCCGTGTGCTTATAATAATTCAGGTTGTCTATATCGAACAAGACTAACCGCATAACCATATAGAGTCGAACGTATAAAGGAGATGTATTCGAGTTAGGGGACAGAGCTGGTTCAAAGGGGAATATCAAGGATATACATGGCTGAAGATAGTCATAATGTGATAAAAGGTGCCAGCTCCTCGTGGTCAAATCCTAGTGTATAATAACAAAATAAAGCCTGACATTAAAACAACCTCGTTGATGTCCCAAAGGCAAGTTACTACTGAAGATGGTAATAAATAAGTAGTGCTGCCAGGTAAGGCCACAAAAAACTACTATCCCTTCACGTCGACTAAATTTTCAAAAAATTCTATTCTCTTGTAAAGAAAGAAGGCTGAAGAGTGCTGGGGTGTTTGTAAATAAACCAAAATATTTGTAAAGAAAAATGTTATAAGACCTAATACAAAATTTCAGTATGGTGTAGTAGTAGTCAAAAAGTTAAAAAGGCATTGTCACCAGGTAAAAAGTAATGACCCAATCAGAGTCTCTGATCTGATCCAACTGCTTAAAGCAAGTACCTTCAGAGGCCAATTCTGTTTCTCATCTAACGTCCACTTCGAGTGCAGTTAAATATGTGAATTTTACTGGTGTAGCATGGCAGAGACTGATCAAAAGGTGTCCGTTTTAGAGATTACATCCTCAAGCTACTATAAGAAGGTGGAATAGAGCAAATCAGGCCTGCACTCATAAACCAGCTCATTAAATCAAGGATCCGTAGTCAGTAGAATATACATAGCTGAAACTAATTGGTTAGAGCGATCATATGCTTGGTGCGTTATGAAATCAGCCTTTCGCTTCGGTTTCCGTTTCTCAGTACCTTAAATATTGGTATTTTATGTGTATTTTAAGTTATTTCATAACACTAATTAGCAAAACAACCATTCCTCCAAAGGTTTACTATGCAGCGCTGTCATGTTTCTTAGTTTCACATTAACGGGAAAAAGTCATCTTTCATTTTATTCGTTAACTTAGAACTACTAATGTTGGTTGGACTTCGTTCACGCAACTAGGTCGGAGCGACAGGGAGACCTTGTATGACATACCCAGTTATGCGCCCTCTGATATAATATCTATAATACCTTTAAGCATTGAACAGATGACATTGCCATAGGAATGTATCAAGTCAACAGTTCGATGCTGGAAATTATTGTGAATACACTGACAGAAGACGCAGGAGTACGTAAATTCCAAAAGACTTTCCTGTCGCCTCGACCGGATTGTGAAAATTAGGTCAAACCATTATGCTACATTTAAGAAGGTTACAATCAAGCCTAGGGCCATATTGGCTTGGTCTTTATAGCTATGAAACTATTAAATCTGATAAATGGAGTGAAAATACGGTATAAAAGCCATGTCAGGCCGAAAGAGCTGATCTATCCTAAGCAGAAGTACCGTCGACTTTTATTTCAAGCAAAGTCGAGTGATGAAGAGTTTAGTCGGCTGATCTCACCGGAACATCCTCTGCTGTCGTTTGGTTTTACCCCAAGGCTATGGTTGACAGAGTCTTTAAGAATATTCTCCCTCAGTTTTTCTGCAAGCATTTTTGTATTCAACCAATCTTTGGTGAATGGTGTGATCAGTTTGTTCAATACAAGGTCGATCACATGAATTCATTATTTGGTAGCCTCTTGATTTGGATAAATCGCCGTATTTTTTTCTAAAGGTGAGTATTATTTAAAAATGTGTTATAACTGCATTCATTTTTCATGGTCTTGACAGCTCAGTTTCATATATACTAAATACTAATGCATACATTTTAGAAGGCTTCACTTTGCTCTGAATTGGCTTCTTGAGTTTAAGTCGATGCATGATATGAGATTGTGGACCTCGTGAGTTCTTGTCCATTCTAAGAGATTTACTCGCCATTACCTGCAGAGTAACTGGGTCTTGATGCTTTCAAGGAAGTCATATCTTCAAGTGTTTGGTGAAATTTATCAAAAAATTCCTCCACATTCTGGCGGATGGACGGATCGGGGACGGAAGATGTTGCACTGAGGACTTCTGTGCTCAAATTAACCATAACAACTTTAAAGCATTCCTAAGAAAGTAGGGTTTCGAGACTACCAGTAAATCATTGTAATGAGATGTATTCACCCTATTTCGT